GTGCTGCTAAACACATAACGCTGAGTGGAGTGGTCGACCTCTCCAAGATGGCCGCCCTAAATCTCGTCAGCGACAATAGAGAAGAGCGGCCGTGAGGCATCTGTTCATTATTTTTCTTTAAATGAAAATTTATTTATTACCATCATATACAACAGACATGGTATCAGATGTTCTCACACCTGAAAAAGCTGAGCCAGGCTGCCTCCATACATACAGAAGAGACGAAAGAGCAAAAATAAAAAGAACAAGCCATTAGCGGTTTTCCAGCAGTTTCAAATTGTTTATCATATTATACAGTTCTGCATGTTGTTGTTTGTCCATGCATTTTAGAGATAAGAAGAGGTGGCAGAGTTCCTTGTGAAAAGTGGGAAAAGATGGTTTGGCTTTAAGAAAACAACATTTGTGAAAGAAAAACTTGCAGATAATAATTATGACATTTAGTCTTTAAATGTCTTTTGTCTTCTCAGGATGGCTCTACATGTCTAGGCTCCCACAGGAAGCAGGGGGGCGGGCTCTTCCGCGTTTGACATCAAGTTGCCATGGTAACAGTCACTTTGTAATTAAATTAACATTCAAAAAAATATTAGAAAAAACTGTTCTGATAAAAATGCGTTTGAGATGTGTCATTGCAACTGGAACCAGAACCAGAACCATCAGGAACCAGAAGAGCTTCAGATTAAACAACCAGAACCCAGCTGCCTGGACCTGCTGCTTCTGAATAGAACCCATCAGACAGAACCAGAACCTCCTCATAATAATCATTGTTTCTCATCAGTCCAGAGACCTGTCTAGGCCCGGTCCAAACCCAGCAGAACCTCAGAGATTCCGCTCACTGACCCAGAGCCTGGTTCTGAAAACGGGTCACTGAAGGTCTGAAGGAACCTCAGAGGAGACACCGGCCTCACAGAGCAGACACACACACACAGACACACACACACACACTCAGCTCGGAGGGTGAAAGGTTATTGGCTGGCTGGCTGCAGCTCTCAGCCAATCAGAGCTCAGGACTGGCTGCTGGGACTCTGTGCTGTTGCTGAGCAGAGAATCAGCCTGACCTACATCCATCACACACAGCGCTGCTGCTCCAGGCTCAGAGGCACTGCGGCAGCCTCAGCACCAAACCCACCGAGCCGCTGCCACGAGGCGTTTACTGTCCTCCGGGAAAAACAGACGGCTACACACGCAGAGCCTTGATCTGGAGCAGCAACGTTCCAACTGCAGAACCGGGCTCACAATAACGTGGGCCCAAAAGAACCCAGCAGAACTGGCATCCATGACAGGAAAGCCTGGTTCTTCTGCACAGAACCAGAGCAACATGTGAGGAACAGACGGTTCTGTCTGGGTCTGGGAACCAGAAACCCGTCCAGAATTCTGCACCCAAACCACAGAACACTGAAGCACAGTGGTGAAGGTATCGTACTATGGGATCACTATAGAACTAAAGATCAGTTCAAAACGATTAACCCTGAAACATTTTTCAGATTTTAGAGCAGATGTTTGTCATCTACCAGTTTCATGTTTGTCTTTAGATATTATGTTTAGATCTTGTTCTCTACTTTTGTTCCTGTTTGTTGTTTTAAATAAAGTTATAATTGGGGAAAAATACAGAGAGCATGAGGAAAGGAAAAGAAACTGCTGTGTAAAAGGACTTCAAAATAAGAGCATGAATATATTTCTCTAAAACTCAATATCCAAAACTGAAACACAGACGCCGAACTTTATTCAGCTGATAGTTAACAGACGTAAATTTCAGAATTTATCTGGAAAAATCAGGGCTAAGTGCTCAGAAACTTTTCAATGCTAGCTACAATGCTACATCTGGTTCCTGCTTGGAACCAGATGTGGTTCCAAGCAGATCCACAAAGTCGGGTTTGGACCCAGACTCCACCAGAACCGGTGCAGTTCAACAGAACTAGAACCTTCTTCAGAGTCAATCCTGGCAGACTCCAAGTGGACTTCCTCAGTTCTGTCACTAACCAGAACATGGATTAAAACCTGAAAATCCATTTGGACCTCCAGCTGGAAACAGAACTTCTCCTTGGAGTCAGGATCAGTCTGTCAGGTCCAGAGGTTCTGGTCTCGTTTCCTCCATTTGGTGCCTAGTAAAGTTGAATAGGTAACGACCCAAACTGGACCAGTACCAAACGGGGATCGGATTGTCGGGGTGAGCGTTTCATGGCTGCTTTGAGAACTGAATATTGAAAGTTACTTTCTCCAATCTGCTGTAAGGAAACAAGGTTCTATGAACCGAACTTCAGTTCTATGACTGAAGTCTGTGTTCTGGTGGCCCGGACTCCACCAGAATCACATGTGCGCCAGCAGCAGGTTTCGGCTTTCGGTTATGCTCAGCAACACTGACAGATCTAAAGTAAAGGAGAACAGAGGGGAACATTTACAGATAACACATTGAAATACTAAGCTGCAACGAAAACTAACCTCTGGTACCAACTGGGCTTTGTTCCGGTTCTGTTAGAGGAAAGGATGGACCCAGAACCCTGGAACTCCTTCACTGGGTGCGTTCCTTAACCATCAACAGGTGGTTGGAAGAGGCGATGTGGGAGGGGTTTCCATCCTAAACAGAGATTAGAATCAGCCAATAAACTTCCACCGTGAGAACGGCAGTCGGTCCTGGTACTTCCTGGAACCTTCAAGGTCCAACTTGAATGGTCTCTGGAGATAAAAGATGCTTCTCACTGAGGAACAGTGTCTATGGAGCCAGGCTCAGAGGTTCTGAGCCTGGCAGTTTATACGCTGCCATCGGCCGATAGGACAGCAGCCTGAGGCGGCCTCCTCTACCATCAAACCCAGTTTGGATGAACCCCTCCACTCACTGGTTCCGGTAACTCACCCCAAAGATTGCTGGTCTCCACAGTCATGAGGAAGTAAAGCCAGGACTCTGCTCCATCCCAACCACAACGGTTTACACAACCTGAAGACCTGAATATCTTCCAATCTGGTGATGGGACAGCGCTGTTCTGTTTCCCTGTACAACCGACCCTGCCACACCATGCATGGTCCCCTGTTAGTTGTAGGTCCAAAGCTCAAGGTACAGCCCGGTTAGGGTGGAGCTACTGTCGTCACACAACACCAACCACTGAGGATGGAGAAACATTACAAGACGTGGTAGCGCGTCAAGTTTGTCGTGGTGCTAGCATGATGCAAACCCTACACGTTTGGGTTTGTGGGCTCAGTGAGACTCCAACCGATGGTGGAAACGTCCTCCTGAATATGCCGGACCATAAAAACACTGAGCCGTACCGCTCAGTGGGAACGTTAGCAAGATGTGGCTATCCAAACGGAGCAGTACCAGCAGTAACCTCTGGGGGCAGCGTGGTACAGCACACATAACAGAGAAGAAGAAAAGAGCAGAAACGCTAGAACTTGTCCTCCGAACTGTCCGGACTGAAAGAACGGAGACTCTGTGGAGCCCCTAGAGGACAGACGAGGTTTTGTTCTTCTAGTTTTCTGCTGATAAAAGGAAAGAGGTGAAGCCAGGTTCTTGTTGTCATGGTGACGGTCATACACAACAACCATACCATAATTATATTATTCTTCTAACCTGCGGGTTACCCCGTTAGGACGTCCAGATGACTGGCCCACCGGAACCAGAACCCGGTTCTACGCCCTGGCTTCACGACAGCTGGGCCATGTGACCCCAGGCTGCTCTCTGATTGGCTCTCGCTGACTCTGGGTAAAGTTTGTGTGTTTTCGTCAATCAGCTGATTCCACATGTCAACACAAAGACGAGCACAAGTTGGTGTCACGTGAGTCGCGCACGCGCATGCCTCAGCGGAGCCAATCAGAGAGCAGCAATCCCAGACTCACCTGCCGGTTCTGTTCTGTTCCCGCAGCTGGATCTGGATCAGCCGCCGAACCGGAAGCTGCCACTTCCTGTAGAACCCAGAGAACCGAACCTCAGCGGACCCCTCCACTTCCCCGTGTAGCTTGACCCGGGTCCTTCCCTCAGCTCGGTTCGGTTCGGTTCGGACTCTGAGCCGAACATCACCATAACAACCACCCTGCCTCGTGCTGCTCGGCTCCCGCACGCCGCGCCGCTTCACCCCGCAGACTTTTAGCGGGAGTTCCGGTCCAGCTTACCTGGGTCACCTGCAACGGCTGCGTCACGTGGTCCGTGGCCCTGTCCGGAGAGCAGAACTGGTCCAGAGAACCTCAGAGTTCAGATCGATCAGCTGGGATCCATGCTCTGATCGCTCTTCATCGTCCTCCTCTTCATCATCCGCAGCATCAGCAGCACGAGGCGCGCTCCCGCCGCGGACACGCACACGCCTCGCCCATGCGCGCACATGTGCGCCAGCAGCAGGTTTCTGCTTTCTTCTTCGTGTATTTGGGTTTATGCTCGCAAACATACCAGAACATCCCAGGTCAGAGTTTCGAAACCGACGGACCGGAATGACAAAAATAAAAAGAGAAACGATTAAAATATGAAAATGAAATGAAACGACAGCGGATGACAATCTGAGGAAATAACCGATGGAAACATAAATAATCTATAAAATAATCTCGACCCAAACAGAACATCAGGAGAAACGAACTTCTGGAGAGTTTCTCTGGTTTTATGGCGCCGTTTGTAAAATTCACAAATACTTTATTAATTACGAAGGGAAATGAGATGTTGTAAATCATTTATTTAGATTCTTCAGTTATTGAAGATCCTGATGGCTGTTGGCAGGAAGGATCTCCTGTAGCAGTCTGTGCTACAGCAACGCTGAAGAAGCCTCTGACTGAAGACGCTCCGGCAGAACTTTATTGATTTTATGAAGAATCCTTCTTTGCATCATCATCACCAGAGGACCCACAGTCAGAACCAGAAAAGAACCTGCCTTCTTATTCAGGCTGTTGAACCTCTTTAGCTCCTGGTTCCGATGGTTCTGGTGGTTCTGACAGCAGATCCAAACCCTGAAGGATCTTCTCTTCCTTCCTCTCATGTCCAGATGAACATCCAGGTTTTTATGTTCCTCATCACCTCCACTTCTTCTCCAATGATGGAAATAGGGTTTGACCTTTGACCCTGTTCCTCCTGAAACCAACAAGCATCTCCTTTGTTTTGTTCACATTTCAGATGATTTGACTGTTCCCTCCATGACCCAAAGCAGTCCACCAGCTCTCTGTACTCAGCCTCTGGTCGTCTCTGATGAACCAACAACTGCAGATTAATCTGAGTGTTTCTGTAATCTGAGTGTTTCTGTAATCTGAGTGTTTCTGTAGATGACAGGAGTCAGACTTATTCTGGAGTCCTGAAGTGTAGAGAGAGAACAGAGCCACAGCTCGGTCCTCCAGTCTCTACCTGTGGTCTGTCATCAGGTGTCATGGATCCAGGTGAGGGTTGAGGCTCCACCTGAGTCTCCTGCTGTTCCTCACAGAGCAGAT